ATGAAGTGGTACAGTAAAAGCCCGTAGTGGCTTGAGAATCTGCATAATTGACAGCCGAAACACTTTACAAACATTACAGATCTCTTTTTTTAACTATTGACCAAGTTTCTATTTGCAATACACATGTAGGCAAACATAACTGAATAACGATGTTTAAAAAAGGCATTTCAGGTATGTGCACACAGCTTTACTGATATCAATGTTCTTACTATCGCATTTGTTAAAGTAATAGTTTCTGTTTAGATTTTCAGCTCCAATAAGACTCTGTTAACTTGGTCTGATTGCATGCTGATAGAGAAGGGTTCCCATTGGCATGTCAACATTGTTCTATCACACACAGAATATCCCTGCTACGCTTATAATTTATATATGAATATATATAGTTGTGAACGTTAGTTAACCCAAATATGACAGAAAGTTTTCTACTACCACAGTTTGCGATTAGATAATACTATATCAGAAGTTATTGTAGGCACTGAGGTTTCAACAGAAATATTTAGGCAGTAGGCTATAGGCAGTACTTCATACACAGTATGTTGTGAAATGGTACCATCTCCTTTGTTAATCATGTCTTTGTTTAAACAAATATAACATACTTTTAGAAACAAACCATCTCCTTAGCAGTGTGTGACATTAGCGTTTTCACACATAGTTCACTAAAGTCTGTACCGGAGATAAAAAATTTTGTGACATTTTATCTTTTTTCCTTTAATCCGCTTGATTTCACGTTGCACTTTTCTTTCATGAACACTTCTTATTGGTTCTCATTCAGGGTTGTTTTTCCTCAAGGTCATGTGAGTGCATATTTTATTATTGAAAAAGATTGAGTAATATCCTTGTTAATTACCAGTTGATTCAAATAATCATTGATATCAGTTCAACGCTTTCTAGGCATATTTCTACACCCACTTATGGAGCTATTTCTATTGTTCATTAAGATGGAATATTCCTCCAAATGTATTTAATCCATGTAAAATATAACAAATGCATATGCATGGAGGTACATGCTCTCAAAATATAAATATTCTACATTTTGTTCTACAGGGAGAGGTGGTCTTATTTCTGCATGTTAATAGAGTCTTGTAAATCATTCTCTGTGCACATACTGTTGCAAATGGAACAAACCATGCAGAGGGATAGTGAAAAATTCCACAGTCTGTGTAAAACTAAATGTTATTAGTGACAAAAGCGCATAGTCGCTTTCACATAAGTTGTGGTGCCTTTGTAAACACACATTTAAACTATATTTATATGTGTGTAATTGATTGAAAATATATTTTCCATGTGAACATTTGTTTTCATGTGTAAAATTAGAAATAGTTTTGTGTTTGTTTTATTTTTTAATGACATCATGCATTGGGATTTTGTTTCTGGTTCAATCCCGAGTTCAGGTTACTGGCAGTGTGGAATTTCATATGTTCTACCCATGTCTGTGTGAGTCTACTCACGCCTCTTAAAAACATGCAAGTAGGTGGACTAACTATGCCATGAGGTGAACCCTCACCTTTTCTCAACTCTCTACTGCATAAATTAAAACTTTTGCATTAAAAAATGTTTTTACTTGAATAAAAATATATTTGTAAAAAAAACCATTTTTTTTTTTTTTAGAGGGGGCAGTGGTGGAAAGTATCATATAGTCAAAAATAACACAAAATGTACACGATTCCAAAAGTTAAAAGTATGTAGATTGGATTTGCTTACTCAAAATACATACAAACATTAAATCCAAACATGTTTTAGGTGAAGTGTCTTTTTAATACATTCTCTTGAAACTTTTGAATATTTTGAAAATAAGGTGCAATTGGAAAATGTCTGAAATTATAACAGTTCTTCTTTCCTCGGATGTGAAAAATATAAACATACTACTGGAGAAGCCTAGTGTCTTTTTTGCTATGTTTCAATTCATGATTGCATGTACCACTTATCTGCATCTGCATGTTGTTGCCATACGGAAACAATAACATTTTACCATTTAACAGAATACTCAAAATATATAAAACTGTTTAAATGACAAATACTTAATTAATTAATTAACATCTCAGACAGTGTTTAAATATTTCCCTTAAGTAGTTTTGCCTAAATATTGAACAATCAAATTTTTAGAGCCCTCCATTGATGACCTTCACCATGCCATGTGATTCCAGAAAACGAAGTGCAAATAGCATTTCCTGGTCATGTGACATGGCATTTTTTGTTAAGCCAAAGTTAAAGCCCCCCTTTTCCAGTTACATAGGAAAATAGCAGTTTGGTATTATTGGCTATTAAAAAATTTTAGATAAATTAATTGTTGCCATATGGTAACATCATGCAGTAAAGTAAACTTAGGAATTCTTTACTAAAAGGTCTTCACAAAAGTTTTGTGAATAGCTTTTAAGCAGAAACTCTTAGTTAAGAACTTTTAGTGCCACATAGGAGAACACTTAATGGCAAGATACGTTTTGTGAAAATAGCCCGTGGGCATGACACTGTTTACTTCAGTGAGTTGGAGGTAGAGAGAGCG